AAAAACGCCAGGCCGATCTAACTAGTGTTTTTTGACCAACCGCTGCGTTGACGCCTTCATACTTATCAGAAACATTTCGCGCGACTGCTGGACTCTTCGTCGAACGGTCTGTCGATGCGTATGAAGAGCTTTTTGCAGAAGCGTCACTTTCAACAACAACGCAGGTTCGCAGACTGTGAACAATGCCTTGGATCACTTGGGGGTGCTTTCTTCTTTTAAACACAGGAAAATATCCCCATCCCCTGAGCTCATCATTTCTCCCATCTCTCGACAGTACGTTTCCTCTTCATTTCTCGTTTTGGACCCAAAGATTTCCAAGAGCAGCGACTGCAGTGCCACCCGAATGGCCTGAGGACTAAACGACAAGAAAAGCCCTGGATCTTGAAGCCCTGCTTATAACATTGGAGCAGCTCCAGCGCCCGGGACAGTAGGTCAGAATGGGAGAGATCTCATGGCTTGGTGCTGCCATGTCACCCTTACAATCTGTCGGCAAGACAGGTTAAAGGACTGGTGTGACAGCATCAAGCCAAGGGGTGTCCGCACATTTTGACCTACTATCCCGTGGGCTCAAGCTGCTCCAATGTTCTGAGCAGGTAAGCAGCCACGAAGAGACCCAAGGAAGAGGTGGAAGAGTGGGAGAAAGTGGCGACATCTAGCAAGAACAGCGGATCGGGATTGAGGCCATGTTCGTACCATGTGACACCAAATAATTGACGCACAGATGAAACGTCGAGGAGTCAGTATGCCAGTCAATCTGGAGAATAAGACGATTAGATGAATCGGAGAATCGGAATACGGAAGAATCCGGAAATAGGACCTTAGGGGGATTGACGAATCGGATATTCGACAAATCGTGGAGCTAGAAGAACTGAGAAGTGTGTGATGAGGATTGGATTCCTATCATTCCGGATAACTTGAAGAATCGTGGTTTATGAAGACTTGGTGAGCTTGCGGAAATGGATCGATATACGTAAATATCTCTTTTTGCGGCTTCTCCGACCCTCGCAACGTCGCACTTCGCCGATTCTTCAGATTCCACGATTCTCCTGTGTTGCAAGGTATGAAATCGGCCCCATACTTTGTCACACGTTAGAGCTGGAAAATCAAACTAGGTCTATTCTTACCTAGTCCGTTGGCGTGTATTCTCTTATTCTGCAGATTGACAGCTAGAGTGCGTTCACACTTTGCGAAAGCGTTTCGATCACGGTAGCGTTCTGAGCAACTAGAAGAGTATAGGTATCGATCTAGCGTTTTGAGCGTACGCCAGCATTTTGGGCGTTTCACGGGTAGTTTTAGGCCTTCCGCGGACAGTCGCTGAAAACGCTGGCGCACGCTCAGATCCCTAGATCGATACCACTTTGCTCAAAACGCTGGCGTGAACTAAGTCGATATTGATAATCGATACCTCCTTAGTCGCTCGAAGGGCTGACGCAGAGTGTGAACGCAGCCTTAGATTTTCGCGTGCTTTTTTCTCCTGTGCTCCTAATCCCCGAATCCCGTATTGTATCCAGTATCTTACGGTATGAACGTGACCTAATGCTGCGGCAGAGAAGTGGTAAGTTTCAAAAGTAATCCAATTTTTTACCGACACCTGCTTTGTCTTGTTACCTGCAGTGTTTCTCGAAACTTTTGTGTTACTGGGAAGTCGATCTTCCTGCTCTATCGCGTAAATATTCGTCATCATGGTGCTGATGAGCATCGATCCACGCCCGAGTGTACTTTATAGTGCATCCCCAGCACATCTGTGACGACCCTCTGCATGGGAAGAGAATTTGTGCAGGAAAAGTTTACTCCTCAAGCAAGAAACGTTGAGCGAAATGAAAAGTGGCGTAGCTTACCATGCGCATGGTCCAGTGAAATGCATTGAGACTTTGGATCAGCTTTGCCATTCAAGCCTCCCGTTCCTGCGAGTCAGTGGTTGGTACCAGAAATGCACAAGAGGATCAAAATTTGACAGGTTATTGTGCGAAACAAACCACTTTTCAATTGTCACTACGATTGCGAGTGGATGTAGGGTGCATGGCCTATACCAAAATGGATCGATCAACACCAAAAATTTTATCGTTTAGCTTTGTTGACGAAATTAGCAGTTCAGTTCCAGTGGGGGCTGTTTCCTAAGTTATTCACCCGATTGATCTTGTTCAGGGAATGGGAGAGTGTTAGGCTGTGCTCATGCTTTGCGACCGCACAGTAAGAATACCGGCCGATCGATCTAGGGATGGAGCGGCAAAGGAAATTATAGGTATCGATCTGGCGATTTGAGAGAGAATAGGAGAATCTATAGTCTGACGTTTTGGGGGAATGGGACAGAGAGGAGATGGGTATGGCTGCGTTCACCTACTACTTTGCGGCATTAACGTCTCGAGGGATTACGGAGGTAGAGGTATCGATCTGCGAACGCAAGCGTCCACCAGCGTACAGCAGCGTTTTCGCGAGCGTTTTGAACTAGAGCTAAGCTGCTTTGAAAACGATGGTGGAAGCTTGCGTTCGCGGATCGAACTTTTACCTCCATAGTCACTCGAGACGCTGGCGTACGCTGGTGGAGCTAAATCGACTATACTTTCCTAATCGCTCCTAGTAGTAAATATGAAAGGTGGGCCTCGCCGTGGCCAGCGGACGAGGCTGGTTTCATCGCGAGCTGGCTGCAGTTTCCACGTATTTCTGAACTGTTAAAGTAGTAGATCCTTCCATGCTTGTAGGCTGCACTGCCATGTCCGAAGAAGGTGTCTGAATATAGAATTAACAAGGAACGTCCCTTTGCACCCAGATGGAAACTTGGAAGCCTCACGTGTTTTCCTACGGTGCTGTTGTTTTTTCTTTCCCAACGGTGCATTTTTTTGTGTGGCAGCTTATCATGTGTTGGGGACTTGTTTACAGTCGATTTGGAGAACTGTTTATCTGCGGAGCGTTGTTAGAGACCTTTTTCTCTGCTAAATTAGGATCTCCACCCAAATAGGAGAGGTGCTTCGCTGATCTTCGAAAGAGCGAACAAAACTGGCAAAGTTCTTTATGGAGCAAAAAGCTGCTAATCTATGAACACGTTCATCGGTTCCTGGTACTTTTGAGGTTTCTTTCTGCGTTCCATTTTTTGTGGTCGTTGTTATACTAGCGTCTTGAATACCCTGATGGGTTTTCTGCAGCTTTGGCTCTAAACATTTGATTCAGCAAAGTTTCATTAAGGTTACGGATTATGGTTATTACTCTCTCTATTTTCAGAATGCTCCTCCACCAGAACCAGAGCCGTCACAAGTATCTAGGCTCCTGCTGCAGGTATTTCTAAGTTTCACATTTTTTCCCCGCTATTAATTCTTACAACTCTTCATACTTGGGGTCAGTAATTTGAAGACAGCTACTATAACATATCCGTAATCCTGTGATCATCAGAATCGAATGGTCGTTGCCAGGTGCACCTGATGTTCGAAACTTTGCTGAATGCGACTGTGTCCCTAATTTTCGATTCTTGATGAAGTGCGAAGCTCCAGATTCTTTATCATTTGGGTTTTGTGTTTAACGGAGAACTCTGAGCGGCGCTCTTTCGATAGTTGGCTTCGATTTTCGAATGTGCTGACAAAATAGCTCCACGGTATCGACCATTGCTCGAAGTCAGTGAAGTAGGGCAATTCGCGTCAGCATCACTCTTGGAGATCGCGCGCCACATGGACGCTGGAAAGTAGTGTAATGTCAAGACTCACTGTGCAGGCGCTAAGGGTTTTCATGCATGCGTATGCAGTATTCATGGTTAACTATTCTGTTGTCATCATCGAATCGAGTGATGATCGAACACTCGTTTTCTCAGCTTTCAAATGAAAATAACTGAAATCCAATTTCGTTCACTGTTGTGAAAACCCGGGTAGCAAGGCGTCAATAGCGTCCTGTTTCTTAGTACATGGGCAATGTTTATGATTGTCTCGTCTAGATTGTGCGATTGCATCTGAGTGAACAGTGCATATCCCCTGGATGCTCAGCTGTACTAGCAGAAGCGCAGAAGCTCCGGAAGAAATTGGTTTTATTGGAGGAACTGAGCTCGAGGCTGCGTCGAGTATGCACCTCTCAACAATCCGGTAATTATTTCATTCTGTTCACATAACCTTCAGGTCGTGTTCATACTCTGCATTAGCGGACGACTTCCTTCGGCAACGTTCCAAGCGTACGCCAGCGTCAGCAACTAGGAAGGTATAGGTATCGATCACGAATGCCGCAGCATTTTGCGGGCAGTCTCGCTAAGCTCAGATTGCCCGCGAAAAGGCTGGCGTACGCTGGCTTCTTTAGATCTACACCTGTACTTTCCTAGTTGCTGGTGCTGGCATAAGCTCGAACTGGCTGTTTTGAACACTGTGAAAACATACGGCGAAGACGCACAGTGCGTGTGAAAGAGGGAAGCGGACCAGAAAACACCAAAAGGCTACACAAGCGAGCGGGACAACTGCACGCGTGGGGCTGGCCTGCACCTGAAGGTTGCTTTGGGACTAGATCATGTGTTTCGGACCGGATTCCTGCGCTTTTCCAGCTGTGGAAGCTGCGCATCATTTGCAGTTGTGGACCGCTGAACGGAAGTTGGGTCTCCTCCCTTTCATTTTTCTGCGAGTTGTACAAGGGAGCAAGATTTCCTTCTCACACGAGGTCATCGTGACGTTGCTGCTTTATAGACAAAACGCTTTGCCTCAACAGTGATCCGAACCCGGATCATGCATACCAGGCATTGCTGCTAAGGAAAATCGACAGCGTTTGCTTGCTTTTCCAAGGTTTTCCATTGAATTGTCCCTGCAATTTTGAGAAGAATCGAAATTGAAAGCGGGGATGGTTTAATGAGGAGAGCACCTCATGCGCATTCTCAAAAAAAAGTGGTGTTTCATTCGAAGTGACTAAAGTACCTCTATGACACAATTCCCCAGCGTTGTTATAGTTTCTTTTCATTCGTGTGTTGCGAAAGCTAGATTTTCGTTACAGAGATTGCGAAACTGAATGAAGAGGCGGAAAAGCAGAAAAAGAAAATAACAACGATGGAAAGCATCATTAAAAGGCAAACTGCGGCTATTCGGGACGTTGAATCTCAGTTGAATTTTATGCAGGTTGGTGCTGTGTTTAGCCATCCTTATGTAAAACTTCAGTAAGCTAAGCTTCAGACTTCCCAATGACGCGTGTTGACGCGCTGTAGTGCGTGTCGACGCACTACCACTGTAAGGTGCCGCAGTGCCATAGACGTGAATGCAGCCGCAGATGGGGAACTACCGGCGCTATTCGCTCGCGTTTAGAGAGGGTACAGGATAGCGACAGGGTAGGTGCTGCCTTCACACAGTCTGATACCGTCCTGTTCCTCATACCCTCTCAGAACAAGAGGCCGAGAGGCAACAAGAGGCCAGCTGATCAGTTCATGTCTATGGCTGCGTTCGCGTTTATAGCATGGGAGCACAGTTGCAATGTAGCGCATGGACGCACGTTACTGTTCGTCGCCGCAGAGTACGAACGCTACCTAAATGTTATTCACGAAGTTATCCGCAGTTTTTGGAAGCGTTTTTTTATTAGGTTGCTGCATAAGTTCCCCCCCCCCCTGTTTTGATCCTTGAGTATTTCGTTGGTATTTCGTCATCACGTGTGCGTGACGTGTACATGATACTCTTTCACCACACTAGCTATCACTCACCCACCCTGCATTTGCAGGCTACAATGCCGCACAATTACCAGTGCAAAACCATGTCACAGTGGTGATTGTGCGGCATTGTGGCCTTCTTCGGGTCCCAGCCCCCGTCCTTCTGGGACGATGGAATCGACAAGCTGCCTGAGCGTTGGCGTCGAGTAGTGGATGGTGATGGTGCATACCTCTAATCTTCAGGCTGGTTCGCTATTGAGATATTTACAAAAAAGTCGGGGGAAAGAACTTATGCACCAACCTAATAGTTAAACTAATCTGTTCATTCATGAACTTCTAATCTATGTTTGATGAAATATTTATTTAAGCGGACCGCCTTGAGACCACTTTCCACGAAACAAACGAATTACTCTCAACAGAAAATAGTGAACAGTCCTCAAACACTGAATCGTCCAGTGCAAAATAATCCTCGCCAAGAGCTTCCAGTTATGGTGCAGGTTGGTCACAGAAACAGCATTCAGCATGGGATGAAACGGATAAGAGGCGTGCTGTTACTTATTCGCAGTCTAATTCAGAGAAGAGTCCGGAGTGAAGTGCATCTTCCAAGTGCAGGTGTGCCGCCGCTTGCCAACAGCCATAGGCAATCCTTTGATCAAACTCCTCAACGTCCAAACGGAATGGTATGCCATTTCGTCTGTTTTTTGAACAACGTCCCTCCTTTATGGACTTTCGAACGTGTGAAACATCATCACTTTTAAGGCGCAAGCCCCTTCACAAGTGCCACGAACGCCCACTCTATCACGGATGCTTCAGACTCCTTCGCGCGCATCTCAGGCACCTCCCAATCTTTCACGGATGCCTCAAATTCCTGTCAATACGCCATCGCCTCAGACTCCTCAAAATGTGCCCACTGTGAAGTCCTCTCGTGTAAAACTGGAAATACCTTTCGCAAACGAGAAGTCGCTTATCAACTTCTATGCACCTATAGCGGTTAGTTACATTTCTTTTCATGATTTTTTGAGTCCATCTCCGTCCTGATTGCAAAAAAGTCCCAAAAATGGGTAGTATGTGCAAAATGAGGCTGAAATTCGGATTATGAAAAATTTATGAAGTTTTCGGCATTCATGTGATTCCATAATTGTTTGATTTGTTAGCTATTCTTTTCAGGTCCCTACATTGGATTATCCCTTGGAATGTCAGCGTTGCAAGCTTGCCGGTCCCAACGATTTATCTCTGGAGATCAAGACGGAACCATCCAGTTAGATTTTTTGACGTTCTTTGTAGATTCCAATAAACCCAAGTTCACTACGTATTTTATCGCGGCTGTGTTTTCAAACAAGGTGACACTTGAAATTATTTCAGATTTCCTTCTCACGAAAAAAGTACAAGGTGTTATTAAGTGCAGTTCCATGAAACCCTCTCCGAAGGTAGTCTTAGTTATGCGTATATCAGTATGTGCGTGCATCTTCTGGTTTTCTGAATGTTTGCTTTTAAGAAAGTGAGAATATTCTGCTATTTGGAAAGTGCAATCAAAGTACGACGGTGGACTTCTAGCTTACTGTACAACTTTGCAACTGCGGAGAAGATAAAGTTCGAGATTATATTTAGCAAAGGTTGGTTCTATGATCTTCCTGTTGCTTTTAGCTCGTATAATTGCGATTTGTCAATTTTCAAATGTGTTAGATCATTTTGCCATCCTCTCGTTGTGTAGTAATAGAACGGGACAGATAATCCACAATTAAACAACGACCGCTGCCGCTCGCTCACTTACGGAGGAACATCAGCAGAGTCCACTTCCAGCCTACCTGTTTCTCGAGAAAGCTCAGAGACAAACTACGCGATTGCCTCCCGTGGATAATGGCGTTCGGCTGCAAGTATGTGGTCGTGAAGTGATCCCTACCCACCCAGACCCCCCCCTACCCAAAAAAAAAACAAAATGTGCAGAGAATACACTATGTGGGACTGGCAGCACCTCTGGGCGAGCTCTCCGGACTTCCCAGCGAAGCGATATTCCGACACTTCTGGCTTACTAATCATCTCTTTTCATCAGTTGAACGAATACCATTCAATAGTGAGGAATACGCGTATTGCAAGCGAACTTGTGGCAGAAAATAGCCGTTAAGTTTTGTTGGGCGGGAGAATTAGGGAGGCGTCAGAACTGTTTTCTGTGAAGGTCGCAGCGCCTCCCTTACACATGGCGAAGCCGCGGAAGTGGGACAGTCCTAGAGTAAGACAAGCCTACTTGCACAGCGACGGACGCCTAAACTGGTTGACCGCGGGGACTGTCTCTAAAACGAGTCCCTACCAACTAACCTGTTATGCGCTAAGCAAGCAAAGAGCGCCTAAACGCTTATGAGCTGGATCCTTATGGTGAATACGAACACCGCTCAGCAAGTTATGCATCCAGCCCTCACGGGAGCCTCTCAGTAAAAAGAATCAGGACCGGACCGCCAAAGGAAGCGTAGAACGAGTAGATGGGAGTCAAGCGACTGCTATTCTCCTAACCTTCTATTTTTTTGTCGCTCATTCTATTCTTCAACTCTCCTATTCTGCAATGTCGCAAACCATAAAAGCAGAATAAAACGTGGAGATCATCTAGAAGCGGAGTAAAGGTTGGAGAACATCAAGGGTGTGCGCCCTCACCACGAAATCTAGCCTGCTTGAAGGAATGCTCACATGAGACGTGCTGAACACTGATGGTTGGTTTTGCTCTGGCTGTCGATATGCTTAATTTCAATGGGGAGAAACCACAGGTTCAGGTCCATACGTGAACAATCGTCTCAGCCAGTATGGTCTCGGTTGTAGAAAGACTACTTGAAAGCTGTTCCCAGCGATGGAAATATCCAACGCAATGCAGAAAATTTGTCAAAGCTATCCCCTTCAGTTATCTAGGGTACTGTTTATACAGCGGAGGTGTTATTGACAACGAGATGGGATTCAGAATCGCGGCATGGATGCTGTGGAGAGGGATAACTGACGTGCTAGGTGGGAAAGGCATGCTTAGACCTCATATGTCAGAGATATGCCATTCGTGCTAATGCCAGCATTGAACTGAATGCTAGTAAGCAACGAAATGTCTCTGAACTACTCCACCCTAGGGAAATGCGAACACTTCGATTGTAGATGGCAATCTAACGCATCTGTAAAGATAGAATTTCATGAAGGATGAGCGTCGCGCCATCTGCAGAGAAATTGCAAGAGAGGACTGCAGTGGTATGGTCACCTCCTACTCGCCGTACCAAATACTGTCGTTGCATTGAAGTCAAAGACCACAGCCACGAGGACGGCAGAGGCATCGCTGGCAGCACACAATCGATTCGGGCGTGAAAATCGAGCATCTTAGCGAAGAAGATGCACCAGACTTTGCAGGGTGATAGTTAACTATACGACAAACAGAAGTTAACGATTCGAGAAACGGACCATGTTGCGGAAAAGCGCCTTAAAGGAGAAAATAGCGGCCATCTCAACGGTCCGCATAGCATTGTCAGAATTCATCATGTTCATAGGGGAATGGTTTGGAGCTCAGCGGCAGCGGCGTTCTCACCAACAATTGTCGGCTCAGCTCCAAAAAAGAAGATATAAAGGTAAAAGGTCAAAGGTGGAAAAGGCAGCCGCCACTAGGCTTCAGTCCACCCGTTCTGACGCGCGTCATCAGTGCGCCGTGTTATGTACCGTATCTGTGTTCTGTACACATGTGGTCCTTTCATGTACTAAATGGCAAATAATTGTATCAGGCTAAACTTCTGTCGAAGTTCTTCATATTATGCTCAATAACATGCTTAATGGGTGTACAGCACAAACTTTCTGTATTTTTTGGAAGATGTTAATTATTCGACTATGCCATATATTTCAGAACAGCAAGTCTCACGGTATGACCGCGTAGTTGCGTTTGCATACGGCACCTTCGGCGCTGAGAAATATGTCACGGACCGTATTGTGTTCAATGTTCAGTCGGCGAATTATGTGAACGAGTCCCAAGTATCCAATCATGGTGGAAGTGCCCCTCAATGTGTTGAACCGATGGACACGGTATGTATGTGTTCACATTTAGCAGAAAACATAATCTATCACCCCTCTAGAGTAGCTTTTCCTCGCCTTGTCAGCGACACTTTCGCGAAGACAGCTGAGATGTATCGAAGTGAGATCAAGTGGATAATGAACCAGCAAAGCTTCATACTTCGCATCAGCGTTCACCAGCGACCATTAGCGTCTCGACCGTGCGCCAGCGCCAGTGACTATGAAAGAATACATATCGACTTAACGGACACCAACGTCTATCAACGTCCACCAGCGTCCAGGAGTGGAAGGCATGGGAAAGTAGGAGGGTAACAAACAGCTGAATTAGGCATAGTGAAATTGCAACGTGCAACTTCCAAAGCACGGATTCATGCAATCCACAATCTTGATGTACGGTGTAGTGCTTGTACAGTGCGGTTGTACACGCCGCATTTCACGATGCCTAATCCAGCTGTTTGCTACCCTCCTACTTCCCATACTCTCCACTCCTGGACGCTGGTGGACGCTGGCGTTCGTTAGATCGATCGATATCTACACTTTCGTAGTCGCTGCGCTCGAAACGCTGGGGTGGTGGTGGACTGTCGCAAATTATGAACGCGGCCTATGGTGGGAGGTTAACCATCTTCAGCCACTTGAACTGTCTGAAGCATTCTTAAGCCATGTAATTACTAGTCCAGTGGTACCATTTCGAAAGCAGGGATAGTGCTTTAGGCGCTGATCAGTCATTTTTGGGCTACGGACACACAGTTCTGCTCCCGTCTTGTTTCCTTCGGCATTGAGGGCTTTTTTGAACACGATGTAACCCACGTTTTGGAATTTGGCGCCACCCTAAGTCCACGTCAAAGTTTTTATTCCCACATATGAAACTGGTCCCATCGTCCCCCAGGGAAGAAAGGATTGGTTCTGCTAGGGACGAACCTTTTCGGGATTTTGCCGCCGAACTTCGCGTGTGGTGTGCTGCTCTGTTCGGCACTGCATCCGCCGCACTACTACCTTAAACGCTAAAATTCGAGATTCACTCGAAAGAAAAGATGCCGTTCCCTGAAATGCGTAATTCGGGCACTCGCTCTCATTCTGTACATGAACTGCGGCGGAAAGGGATGCAAATATAAAGCTACTTCATCTTTCATTTATGTATGGATATATTAGAAAAGCATAGGATATAGCTTGAATTTTGCAAGTTTCTTTTTTTTTCTTGCTTCCAGCACCACAGCAGGGTTGTACTATGTTTCAGAGTTCTGTCTCGAAACCATCTCCTGGTAGAAATGGAATAAATGCTGTAGTGGATGATTCTAACTTCGAAGTTTATCGTCCTTGTTGAGAAGGGTTTGAGAAGCCGTAACTGCACAATTTGTTCATTTATTCGTATCTTTGGCTTCATCCATTTTATGTGATCTATTATTGGTTTTATAACCAGGGTGATGTTTATTAAGCTATTTGAAATAGTAGAAAACTCGGGAGATGTTTCATCACAAATCTGTGTTGCGAGTTTTAATCTATCTCGAAACTCTTTCATGTGCGCTTTTAAATCCGTAGTTCTTCAGAGAAGAGCTTTAGTACTAGTAAGGAAAACAGTGATCAATTGCCGGCCGGTCCGGTGAGTGATAATGCTCAAACCAGCCCAAGGCTACTGTATCATATAGGAGTTGCAAATGTATCCGAAGCAAAGATTGTCCGTTTCATCGCATTTTGCTGCAGATAACAAATATCGACTCTAGTTGTTCCCATTTAGGAAATTATTTATAACGAGTCAATTTGTTGTTCACCTCATTGTTCTCTTTGTTGGTGCACGACTATCTAGAGAATCATCTTGTCGGACTCTGCAGAATTTTTTATAAATTTATGGTTAATTCATCTTTCTCTTTGACTTTGAGCTTCTTTGAGACTTTTGCGATTTCTCGTGTAATTTATTGGCGAGCAAATCACGTTTTTATGTGAGATTGATTGTTGTGTATAGGAGTGTGGACTGAATTCAGTTGTATATCTGCAGTGCGATTTTTTTTACAAATAAATGTTTGTATAGTGAAAGTGTGCGCAGAACGCTAATTGTTTCACATATTGATATCGTAATTTAGCTTCGAAAGGTACACACTTTGAATATTGTCCTGTAACCCGTCACCCGAGGCTCACTTACCTCCAGTGACGTTCCTTATCGATGCGAATGGGCCCACAACCGCACTAATGCCCACTTTTTCCGCTTTAAGCACCCGGAGCGGAAATGGACAGTAATAATACCAGAAACCGTCTCAATACTCCGCCTCACGTTATTTCAATATGCAACAGTTGCCTTGATACAAGCGAAACACGCACTAAGCGGCAGAGAACAACCAGAAGCGAGAGGTACAAACAAGTAGCACGTTTGGCTATGGTCAGGCGTGCGGCTAGCCTTGTGGCGGCGCAAGCGAAGTATGGAGACGCCCCGTTCCCGTGCACTTTTGATCAGAAATATTGGCACGCTACAGCTGTTACGGACTCATTCACTCGCACATAGAACCATCCTCGTAAACGTGTACGTTCTCTAAGGGAGCGCTATTTGAATAGCGGGCGCAGCCAAGGCATTTGGAATCGCGACAATGAACGCCAGGGAGTACGTGAATATCTGTGTAACCCTAGAAGCAATGAAGCTCCGGAGTGATTGAACTGCAACATAATACCTAACTCACTAAAATAGCGTTCTTTTCTGTTCCTTAGCTCTCAGCTTAGTTCCGTGGAGATGTGAGGTTTCTCCCCACTACTGTTTGGAGTTCCAGTTTGCCAGTTGAGTATTTTTGTGGACGTGGCTCTTCCCGCAGAACAATCAGGGAATAGTTGTTCTAACTAGCGGTCCCAAGGAATTTTCACAACACATTCCTTTATTGCAGCGCAAATGCAGGTCAACTCTTTCACCGTACTGGTTGCTTCTCCTATTTTGGGCGGGGCTGAGTAAGTGTTAAGCGATGTCGTTTCTTTCATCCTTGACACCTGCGTAAGTTTCGCCGTGGTCCAGAAAATCGCGCTGCTTGGTTAGGTTCGCACCTTTGTGAACGTATTGCCATCGGCGTCACTCTAATCTAGTACCGAACTATTCTGAATGGAAAATTCTTCATTTTGCCTTCCTTGTTCTTCTTAGATGGTTAACCTTTATCCTGCCGCAATCGACAGTGATGAGGAAGTTGAAGCCGACGAAAGTGGCGAGGATGAAAACATGGATGACATTGAGGTAACGCATTGATTTGTATTAGCTTTGTCCTTTTTTGAAATGAATTTGCGTGTTTGTCACGTGTTATCAAAGTGTGTTTTTATGGTGGAAATTTTGAGGCTATTGCGGTGGTGAAAAAGAAAAAGGTTGCTGGAGCAGCAAATGAGTTTTCTTCGGATTTCTCATTCGATTTCTCGGCTGACCAGATGGTCGACCGTGACGATGCTGCTTTAAAGAAGTGAGCAAAAGACATTATACTTGAGACTCGGCCACATTGTTTCTGCTGTGGGTGCTGAGTATCATCGATGAAATTCCAGATATCTACGCAAGGAAGTTGCGTCGACTTTGGAGGAAAAGATCGAAGCAGTTCGCAAGGCAAAGAAACACATCAAAGGAGGTTGAAATAGACATTAAAGATGAAGACGATGGTGTGGAGCAGTTAGGTGGACGGGAGGCAAAAGGTTTGTTACATTTTCGAGAATTTTCAATGGGCTCATGGTCAGCTTTATCTTGATCCGTGATTGTGTTGTGATGGTTCGCTGGAGGAGTGCTTTCCCCTACGAGGACACTCCCTCTCGCTTATGACTTGAAGGAGAGGAGGAGGGGGCGAGCATTCAGAGAACTTCCTGTGCGGGACTGTGATTTCCGGTGTGGAAAGGGGCTTCTGCCCTGGCTTAGAGGAGGGGGCAGCTCCGGCGTTAGTGGCAATTCACTGGAGCAGTGCATTTCACACTAAAGCAGTGCATTTCCTTATGAGAACATTCTCTGGAGCTTTTACCTGGGGCATGGGACTTGGGGCATTTGGAGGTCCTTGTGCAAAATGGAATCCCTCCTGCGGAGGTGAAGACTTTGTTGTGGGTTAAAAGAGAGGGGAGAAACGTTGTGGTTTCAAGGCTTCTGTCTCCTGTTGTTCTCTCGCTGTAAGGGTCCAGGAGTATTTCACCACATTTCCTCGCCGAGCATTTGAAGTGAGGAAAATAAGGAAGGAGAAGAGGAGCCGGAGCAGCAAATGAGTTTTCTTCGGATTTCTCATTCGATTTCTCGGCTGACCAGATGGTCGACCGTGACGATGCTGCTTTAAAGAAGTGAGCAAAAGACATTATACTTGAGACTCGGCCACATTGTTTCTGCTGTGGGTGCTGAGTATCATCGATGAAATTCCAGATATCTACGCAAGGAAGTTGCGTCGACTTTGGAGGAAAAGATCGAAGCTGTTCGCAAGGCAAAGAACACATCAAAGGAGGTTGAAATAGACATTAAAGATGAAGACGATGGTGTGGAGCAGTTAGGTGGACGGGAGGCAAAAGGTTTGTTACATTTTCGAGAATTTTCAATGGGCTCATGGTCAGCTTTATCTTGATCCGTGATTGTGTTGTGATGGTTCGCTGGAGGAGTGCTTTCCCCTACGAGGACACTCCCTCTCGCTTATGACTTGAAGGAGAGGAGGAGGGGGCGAGCATTCAGAGAACTTCCTGTGCGGGACTGTGATTTCCGGTGTGGAAAGGGGCTTCTGCCCTGGCTTAGAGGAGGGGGCAGCTCCGGCGTTAGTGGCAATTCACTGGAGCAGTGCATTTCACACTAAAGCAGTGCATTTCCTTATGAGAACATTCTCTGGAGCTTTTACCTGGGGCATGGGACTTGGGGCATTTGGAGGTCCTTGTGCAAAATGGAATCCCTCCTGCGGAGGTGAAGACTTTGTTGTGGGTTAAAAGAGAGGGGAGAAACGTTGTGGTTTCAAGGCTTCTGTCTCCTGTTGTTCTCTCGCTGTAAGGGTCCAGGAGTATTTCACCACATTTCCTCGCCGAGCATTTGAAGTGAGGAAAATAAGGAAGAGGAAAGAGAGACAGAGAAGGAAGGAAGAGAAGGAGGGAGGGAGAAAAAGGGAAGAAGTAGAAAGGGTTTGCAGTTGACAGATATCCGGAGACGGGAGTTTACTTAGCCACTTCAAACGACTATGCTTCTGTTTAGATTGAATTTTTTCCACCTCTGTGCAGTTTGCTTTCAATGCCCTCCCCCTCCGGTTACTAGCGCCCATACCGTTATCCCTTTCTGAGAGCTTCTCTTTTTTCTTGCCCAGTTCTGCATTCAATGTCTTACATCTCATAGATTCGTTTCAATGTACTCAGTTATGATCTTAATCATGGCACGAGAATCGGCGGGGTGGGGCTACAGAGAGTCACAGTTAGGATTTCGTATCTGGTCTAGGCTTCCCTGAAGTTCCGAACTAACTTCAATTTCCACCGTTTGAAGATTTGAGCTACTTTTGAAATATCATATTCGTGCTTCAGACAAATTGCGTGATAAGAAGAAGATGGGGCGCAAAAGCGTCCAGAAGCAGGATGACTTCTTCGATAAGGCAATGGATTTCTCGGACAATATAACATTTGATCAGATGAATTTGTCACGTCCAATGTTAAAGGTTCGAGATTTGTAGCATTTTTTCGCTTTTATTCCAGTAAGATGGTCTCACCACTTATTTTTTGTTAAGGCTATTGCAGCAGCGGGATATACAGAACCTACACCTATTCAAGCAGCCTGTATACCAGTCGCTCTTTCTGGAAAAGATATTTGCGCTTGTGCAGCAACAGGAACTGGAAAAACGGCTGCTTTTGTCTTGCCGATATTGGAAAGACTTTTGTATCGGTCGAACGCTCGTTCTTGTACACGCATCCTGGTACTTGTCCCAACAAGAGAGCTTGCCATTCAAGTTTTCCAGGTATTTTTCATTGAACATCTTAAGATTTTCCGATCGATCACTCTCATTGCTCCACGGTAATATCAAGAGGTATTGATTTTAGGTGTTCCGCAAGCTTTCCACATTCTCGCAAGTAGAAGTCTGTCTATGCGCAGGTCAGTTCCCATAAATTTCTTTATGTTTGCACAGCTTTTCAGCTTCTAAATGATCAGCTGCATCTGTGCTTCTACGATAGATTAGACTTTGCTGGCCATGTGGTAACTCCTTTCCAGTCATTCAAAATTGAAAAAGAGGGTGCAGCTCGAGGTGGGGGGGGGAGGCATTTCGCTCATTCGCTGCTTCACTGCATCCGCTGTACAACTAATCCTTGTGGAACTTCTGAACTCTTCTGAGACTGGAGCAAGCTTGTCGAGGCGCCATGGTAGATGGTACTTGTATGGTATTTCATTGATTTATAAGATTGACAGGTACTCTTCACAAGTGTTGCCAGGTGGTCCCTACTAGCCCAAAAAAGTCATCGAATAACAGAATGGTTTGAAGTCTGTATGGTCTCATTATCAAACAACAACAACGTTTCAACATTATTATTTTTATCGGGTTTTTTGTTGAAAAAATCTTTTTTTGGAATTGAATCTACCTTTTGTTTTTTTTGTGTCGACATTCATATTTGCCCACGCTTTCTACTTTCGCTCCTGCACGGTATCTACGATATATAATGAGGGTTCTCTTCTGTCCTCGGTGTTTTGTTCTGAGTGACAGTTATAGTCAAATGTAATCTTTAGTCCCTTCTGCTTGTTATCCACCGATTGGTTCTGAAGTGACCTGTATCTGCTTCACATCCAGGGATTAAGTGGAAAGGCAGTGTCATTAGGACCTCCGTTTACCAATATTCCTGTTCCTTTAGTTCCCATCCACCTTCCCTAGCCTATCTACATCTACAATCTTCCCAAATTCTCTAAATTCCCCTAAATTCTCGACGAGTTTTCCAAAAAAATTCCAGTTGGAGGGGATGTCACCAATTAACTCTCAGAATAAACTGTCAGTAATAGTAGTTTTTAGTGCTTCTGCGGCGCGACAACTATGGGGAGCGGAAGTATGACCAATGCAGAAGGAGTACTATTAGGTTGTCCGGAAAGTTCTCAGCGTTTTGAGTGTTTCACTTCAAACGATCATAACTTTCTTAATACTCATCGGATTTAATCGAAATAGGCACCGTTCGAATCAGCACACTTTTGCCAATGTGACACCAGTCGATAAATCAAAAAAAAACTGGGTGGTAGAGAATCCACGAAGTCCATGTAGGCTTTTTTGCCTGGTCCTGACTGACGAAGTATTTTCCAC